CAAATGGATCGATTAATTTGTTATTGTGTCATTTGATGATAATAATCCGTTAAAAGATGGAATGAATAAAATTCCGGAAATTTTGGATAGCATGAAAAGATGTTAACTTTAGCAAATGGATCGATTAATTTGTTATCATATCATTTGATGCTTTAAGTTTTGCTTTAGGAACTGCTTTGTTAAGTGATTAGGTAATGCTGATAATATGTTATCTTCATGATTATACTTTTTTTTCCTTTTGATAAATACATTAGTAAATTCTTGTTTATAGTGCGCCAGCTGGTTTTGGCCCAACAACGTTACCTGTAGGAAATAATACATCGGCGGAATCACGTAACATTTCTTCATCATCATCAAATGATTCGTCAGGCAGTGGATATAAATTTCCGGATCGTTTCAAAGCTTTCTTCCGTTATCACAATTATAATTTAGATAATCAGAATGATAATAATGAAGAGTAAGTGTTAAATTAGTGTTATCAATTTCATCAATAATTAAAAATATTATCTTTTTTTCTTTTAAATTTTAAAATTTCATTTTTTCCTCCAGAGGTTAAAATAAAAAACAAAGCAAAAATAAAGAATTAATTAATCATTATATTTTATAGATTTATTAATGCACCGTGGAGTGCAGCAGATGGTGTTAAAAAATACGGCCTGCATCATTTTAACATTTGTAAAGTACTTGGAAAAGGAAGTTTTGGAAAGGTTTGTTTAATTTTTGTTAAAAATAATTTTAACAAATTTACCTTGTTTATTTGTTTACTTTTCATTCATTGATTTAAACAATAGGTTAATTAATTAATTAAAAAAAAAGTGTTTTGTTCATTTTTTTTAAATCTTTGATTTACCATATATAAAAGAAATGTGTATAATCATATATTTTTTAATGAATTGCATCATAAAAATATAACAGGTAATTTATTCAAATATAAGTATATTTTTAATAAACAGGTAATATATTAAAATATATTTTAAATTTCTTTATATTAAAATATAAATATGTCTTTTATTTTCAATTCTTTTTATATTAAAAATAATCTTTTTTTAATTTCTAATTAAAGGTATTATTGGTGGTACTTAAAAATAAGGAAGAATATTATGCGATGAAATGTTTGAAAAAGGATGTAATACTTGAAGATGACGATACTGAATGTACCTTTATCGAACGACGTGTACTCATCTTATCATCACAATGTCCATTCCTTTGCCAGCTGTTCTGTTCATTTCAAACAAAAGTAAATGTTTTATCTTGCATAATTATATATTAGTAATAGATTAATTATATTTCAAATTTAAATATTATTATAATTATTATCACACGTATGCATGCATTAAAATTTAATGATAGAAATTTAGTAGTGATAAAAAAATTTAGTGATAAAAAAATAAGCTATTGAAATATACGAATTAAAGGATTTCAACGAAACAGTTTATTTCAATCTTCTTTTTCAACGAAATCATTAAAGGAGCAAATTTTAGGAATATTTGTTTTTTGTAATGGAATATCTCAAAGGTGGTGATCTCATGCATCATATTCAAGTGGTTAAAAAATTTGATGAAAATCGTTCTCGATTTTATGCATGCGAAATTATCATTGCATTACAATTTCTTCATTCAAAAGGCATCATTTATAGGTTGGAATTTTCCTTATTCTTTTTTTTTTTGAAGTAATTTTATTTTTTCTTTGGAAAATTTTTATCATTATCGTTTTATCATTTTATCATTTTTATCATTATTCGTAAGGTTGAAAAAATTGTCTGTCATATAATTGAAAAAAAAAAGTAGTTATTGAAATCTTTAATTTTAGCTAGCGCGTTTAATTTTAGGCTGAAATAAAGAATGGCTTTTGATTTTAGGTTGATTTCAAAAAAATTACTTCGACATTTTAATACATATATACGTATACGTACATATAAGTTAACAAATAATTGTGATTATTCAAAATCTTGTTTCTTTTTTAGAGATTTAAAATTAGATAATATTTTATTGGATTCGGATGGGCATATTCATTTAGCTGATTTTGGTATGTGTAAAACGGAAATGAACCGAGAAAATGGTATGGCATCAACATTTTGCGGTACACCGGATTATATTGCACCCGAGGTTAGGATTAATTCCATAATTATACACGATTAATGCTACTATTAAATATCCATATCTAATGCTTTTTATCGGATACTCTTTAGTGTAAATTGAAAAGGTTACATTTTCTGCAAAGAGCAAAAGGTATTATCGTTTGGAGTAAATGAGGTACGGGAAAATTTAAAATCGAAATAAATATTATTTCAGTATAGTAATACAGAAAATTAGGATCCGGACGTAGATTTCATGTTTATTATTTCATTTCGCATTAAAAAAAAAAAGACCTAAATATGCTTTTGATCTAACCCTAATTACTGAAATAGAATAATAACCTGGCCAAAATAATTAGTAATTAAATGCAATGATTATAGTAACAGACACAATAATACTGATAATAAACATTGATATTCTTACTACTGATAATAAACATTGATATTCTTCAGATAATTAAAGGTCAATTATACAATGAAGCGGTTGATTTTTGGTCATTCGGCGTTTTAGTAAGTACTTACCTTTTCTTATCATAATTTTTTATCAAATATAATTGCACTTATTTTGTTTCAAATTAGGTCAATTTAAAAACACTTTAAAAATTTTGATTAAAGTTTCTTAAGTTTCTTTCTCTCTTTTTAAGATGTATGAAATGTTAACTGGTCAAAGTCCATTCCGTGGTGAAGGAGAAGATGAGCTTTTCGATTCAATTTTAAATGAAAGACCATATTTTCCAAAAAGCATTAGCAAAGAAGCTGCAAAATGTTTAAGTGCGGTAAGTTGTTATTTCCAGTACATTCATTGATTTGTTTATTAAGTAACTAAAATTAAGGATTGAATTTTAAATATAAATATTTAAATTTTGATATTTAAAATAAATTAATTTAAAATATTAATTTTATATTAAACATTAAAAAAACAACAATTATTATTTATTAATTATTTCAATTTAATTTACAGTTATTTGATCGTAATCCAAATACTCGTCTTGGTATGCCAGAATGTCCAGATGGTCCAATACGAACACATTCATTCTTTCGTGGTGTCGATTGGAAAAGATATGAAACACGACAAATGCCACCACCATTTAAACCATCTGTGGTAAAACAATTAACTAACAATTCCTTTGATATTAATTATTTTTTTAATAATAATATTTATTATATCAAAGCATTTCCAACATTTCTATTTTAATAGTTTTTGAAATTAAAATTGAAAAATATTTAGAAATAGTAGAGAAACTTTTTTCTCTCTAGTAAAATAGAATATTCCTAAAATAAGGAAAGAAATATTCCAATTTCCCTTATCATCCAATCAACTTATCACTTATTTAATCAGGTGTAAATTTTTTTCCGTTGTAACTACAACTATTTTGTGTATGATGAAATTGATGGTTGAAAATTTGCAGAAATCACCGAATGATATTTCGAATTTTGATGATGATTTTACGCAAGAGAAGCCAACACTTACACCAATTGCTGATAAAACATTATTAGCATCAATTGATCCGGAAGCATTTCTGAATTTTTCATATACAAATCCGGAATTTAGATAATTAAAGAAATTTCATTTTTTTTATTCGTTTTGTCTATTTTCTGCTATTGTTTAAAAAGTTTGTCATTTTCCGTATTATGTCTTCCTTTCTTCATTTTCTTAATTTTTCTTAAATTCGTTTTGATCAAAGATCTCTTCAATTTTTTTTTCTTTGTTTTAGAATATTAGTATAGTTAAAGATTTTGTATGTTTTTTTGTGCTGTTATAATATATACCTTTATTTGTTCATTACACTTGCACCTGTATAAAATTTACCTGCAATTTCCCATCTCATTAATATCCTTTAATTACAATACAATATAAATACTAAACAACAAATTTTGAAAGTTTGAAAAAGATAATATTTGAAATTGTCAAATAAATTATGAGGTAATTTTCCCTCACCTTTCCTTCTTTCTCTCACAACCGATAAATCGTACAATTTGTTTACAACTTTGATTTTAGGCTAATTGTTTCTAATATAAATTTTGATTTGATTATTTTAGATTATAGAAGAAAATTTAGCAAAGCAGAAATTTAGAAATTTAACATTTTTATTTTTTTAAATAAACTTTTCTTTCCTCTCTTTCATTTTTTCCTTTTCTTTTTTACCTTTTTGGTTAATAATAATAATAATAATAATAATAATAATAATTAATAATAATAATAATAATAATAATAATAAAATAATAATATAACAATAGTATGATAATAATGATAATAATAAATAGTACGAGAATAATAAACAAATAAGAAACTATTATTTACTTGCTATTTCAAAAAACAGAAATAAGAATATTTAGGAAGTGGTCATTTAAATATATTTCAAACATTCATACTACAATGGTCAATAAAATGCAACAGAACAATTAATCTTGTTTAAAAAATGAGTAACATAGACAATAAATTTATCATATCAAAATCAAAAATATATACATATGGTAATGATCGGAAAAGTATTTCGGAACATTGATCGCATTATGGATGTTTTATCGGATAAACGGAACGGAGAATTTTTTAAGAAGTAACAGATAAGCAAAATTAAGCAAAAAAGATCTGCAATTTTATTTTAAACAAAAATAAAATTATTTATTGTATAAGTAATATAATCGTACGTTGGTTGCATAAATTAAATTATTGATCAATTGTGAAAATTTGAAACTTTTAAAAAAATTTTCTCAAAACAAAGTGAAGAAAACTATGCGCATATAAATCCTTTACCATTTAATGATAATGAACTAAGTGAATGAATGAAATGAGAGAATGGATGAATGAAATGAAGGAATGTATAAACGAAATAAAGGAATGAATGTATGAGGTGAGGGAATGGATGAATGAAATGAAGGAACGAATGAATGAAATGAAGGAACGAATGTATGAAATGAAGGAACGAATGAATGAAATGAATGAACGAGTGTATGAAATGAAGGAATGAATGTATGAATGAAGTGAAGGAATGAGTGGATGAAATGATGGAATGAATGAATGAAATGAAGGAACGAATGAATGAAATGAAGGAACGAATGTATGAAATGAAGGAATGAATGTATGAATGAAGTGAAGGAGTGAATGAATGAATGAATGAAATGGATAAAGGAAAATTAAATTTAGTAATCTATATGATAGAATGAATTCTTATTTGAAATGATCTGAAATTAACGCAGTAAAAAATGTCGCAATATTATTTGTTAAAATCTGAGGCTGAGATATATTTCTCTAAATCAAAATGATTGTATTTGAAAATGGTACAAAATTGTTCACTTTATCCGGCACTTGTAAATTGTATGTTTATTATTATTGAGGCTATCAATCCAGTGGTCATGGGTCATTCACTGCTATCTGGACATTTATAGTTGTGTATTGAAGATGCATGCATGTGTTTACATGTGTGTGCTTGTATATATATATATATGTCTGTACGCATAAATCATTGCGGGAAATGATTGCCATAGATGGGGTTGGAAAAGCGACCGGATGATATCGAATAGATGTCAAGGTCTCTTGCCTCAAGTGACACACACACACACACGCACAGACACACACACACATACACATACCTAATGATACACACAAACAGACACCCATGAAAAGAGACGTAAACATGGCTAAATAGAAATGAGGTGAGCCCGGTTGTAAAAGTCCTCTAATGATCATCTCCTAGTCCTCAACACTTTCACCTTCCTATCCCGCTTCTCAACATCAATCCTAAATATATTTTATTCTGTAACTCATTCATTATCATCAAATATTTCAGTGATATACATATATGTTCATTTTACTAAGTTTTAATTCAGGTTAATTAATTAACTGTTTTCCAAACTTTGAAAGAGTAAAGTGAAAAGTGGAAAAAATACCTTACGGAAAAATTGTGACATCTAAAGATGTATGTGTATGTGAAGACTGCCGTGTAGGAATATGAAATATGATAGGTAAGTCAATAGATTCATTTTCTATAATTTAGAAGAGATATTGGAAAATCTACCTAGCAAAAGTAAAAATCCATCGACCGTAATATTTCAATTAAAATTAGAAGCTCAAAACTAAAATTGTTACATAAATTAGAAACGAATACCTTAATAACAGGTTGATTTTTTCTTTCGCCAAAATTACAAAACTTTTAGCAATTTCAATAAATACCATATTTTAATTCGAAGAGCAATAAAATTTATTGCACCATCAATAAATTTCATTGATTAATACAATTAATTTTACATAGAAGAAATCATTAATTAATACAATTAATTTTGAATATAAGAAATTATTAATTAATACAATTAATTATGAATATTTGTAGCATTTTTTTATATCGAAAAATACTTTCAAATAATAATAACAAATTATTTCTTCATAATTTTTATTATTCTTTTTAATTCTAAAATTTAAATTTTTTTTAAATCTTAAGAAATTAAAAAGTCCTTTTTTTTAAATATTTATTTTCTAATTAAAATATTTCTTAATGAGAATTAAAATAATACTTTTTGATATATTACAAATCTTTAAAGTAACAATTCAATAAGTAACAGAATTATATATATTTATTCCAACCATGAATAGTACAGTATATCATCTAAATAATTTATTAAAGTAATTATCAAATTTTAATCATAAAAATATGCTTGCCTTTTTTTTGTTGCTCTTCCATTAAGCTTATAATTAATTAAAATTTTAATTAATACAAAAAAATTTGAATAAAAAGGAAAAAAAAGAAAATTTAAAATTTCCTATCATTTTATAATTTCTATTCAATTTGTAAACATTATATTGTTTATACTATTGTTTACTTTTGTTGTTGTTTCTTTCCTTCTTGTTGATAATTTCACATAAAATTAATTTGAAACTTTTGTATGCTTAGTAAACAAAAGAAAAACAAAGGAGAGGTTTGTATATGTTTAGTAAACAAAAGAAAAACAAAGGAGAGGAATTAAATGATTAGTAATATTATTGGGTGGTAATTGCGGAAACTGACTGACTGACTGGTCAATGACAAATATGAACGGTCAATGAAAATAGTAGTGGGTATTTTAAAAAAAAATGAATCGTTGAAAATAAAAGAAGGAAGAATTAAAAAAGTCAAATGTTTCTCTTCTTAGAACGATTACATTTTTGATTTCAAGTAGAAAATGCCCCCTAAAATATGTCAAGGGTGTCACCAAATCTATACACCCATTCATTCCATTTAGCCATCAATTCATTCCTTTATTCACTCTTCAAACTATTTTTAGCCTTTTACAAATCTTTATTTTTTTTTCGCAATTTTTNTGCCCCCTAAAATATGTCAAGGGTGTCACCAAATCTATACACCCATTCATTCCATTTAGCCATCAATTCATTCCTTTATTCACTCTTCAAACTATTTTTAGCCTTTTACAAATCTTTATTTTTTTTTCGCAATTTTTATAATTTCATACCTTAGATTAGAAGTATTGTTTTGTACCTTAGCTTGGATGTATTGTTTTGGTCCTTAGATTTAGAAGTATTGCTTTGTTCCTTAGCTTAGAAGTATTGTTTTGTTTTATTGTTCCACTTTTCCTACCTTTTTTTTTTCTCTCTCTCTCCCTCTGTTAATATTTAAATATGAATGAGTAATTGAAAATAAACTAAATATTTCAAATGATTAATTTTAATTAAAATGTTTTTAAATAGTATGATTTATATTAAAGTAAAAAGTGATATATTTCTAAAAATTTTCATAGTTTTAATATTTACAACAACAACAGCACAGCAACAACAGCAACAACAACAGCAACAACAACAACAACAGCAACAGCAACAACGACAACAACGACAACAACAATAATAACAGCAACAACAAGAACAACAACAATAATAACAGCAACAACAACAGCAACAACAGCAACAGCAACAGCAACAACAGCAACAGCAACAACGACAACAACGACAACAACAACAACAGCAACAACAGCAACAACAACAATAGCAGCACCAACAGCAACAATAACAACAAATATTGTTTTAAAAAATAGATTTAAATATTTGAAAGGAATAAATTTAGAAAAAAGAAATATATATCATATCGATAAATCTGTAAAGAAATGCAATCATTTCTTTTTTTTTGTTAATACGAATTTATATTTTGTTTACTAACAGAAAGATTTTCAATTTATATTTTTAAAAGTTTTCAAGAAATTTATTAAAATTTCAAATTAAATGAATGAATGAATTAAAACAATATATACTGCTAACAAAAAAAAACTAATTACTTTTTCAACATTTTCACTTTACTTTTTTAAAAATTTGCAGAACAATTAATTATCCTAAAATTATCTATTATCCTAAAATTACTAAAATTAATTATCAAATAATATTTTCAATAATTTAAAATTACAAAAAATCTAAATTGAAATTTTTCAAATAATATTTTCAATAATTTTAAATTACAAGAAAAAGTTCTTATTAAAAATTTCCGCTTCTTCTTCTTCTTCGTCTAATTTTATTTTAATTCTTTTCTGATTCCAAAAATATCATACTATTTTTAGTAGCGTGATAAAATAGATTCAAATGTTTCGTACCAGTTTTTATTTCATGTTTGTTTTGCTTTTTTTTTATCCGTTACCTTTCGTTACCGTTACCATGGCAAATCGTTATTCATCATATTATTATTATTTTTTTAAATCAAAATTACTAATTTTTATTACTTCCTTTTTTTTTAAAAAAAAATTCCTAATTAAAATTTTCCTTCCTACCACCTTATCTTTCCACCTTACCTCTCACCTTACCTTCCCATCTTACCACTTCACTACATTATTGTAGGAAAAAAAATAACTTTTTAGTTAAACTTATCATATCACTCACATAACAACCTTACCTTTCCACCTTACCACTTTACTGCATTATTGTGGAAAAAAACTTTTTAGTTAAACTTACCATATCACTCACATAATTACCTTACCTTTTCACCTTACCACTTTACTACATTATTGTAGAAAGTTTTTACAACTTACCATATCGCATATAAAATAAAATTAACCTTCAAAAATTATCATTTAAAAATGAAACGAAAATATAATTTCAAATTTTACTTTACAATTTTCTTGATATTCAATAAATTCAATTAAAATTTCACATTCTCTCTTCTTTTTTTAATTGTTTTAAATTTTTTAAACTAAAAATTTTAGAGAGAGAGAGAGAGAAAGAGAGAAAAAAACGAAAAATAAGCGATCAAATTTTATTTGATGTAATTTTCTTCAATAAAATCACATATGTATTTTTGTCGTTATCTTATTTCTTTCTACCACCATCGAAATAATTATTTTAAAGTGATCATATATTGCATCATATAATTTATCTATTAGTGCTTATCAGAGAAATGATATTTTTCAGCTGGATGCATATGTTTCACGGATTATGGATAATTTATCTGTTTATACCATGTGGTTAATTTTTTTTCCTCTTAACTTTCTTTTTTTAAAACAATACTAATTTTAAAATTAGCTTATTGTAAAGTATGTTAAATTTTAAAGAAAAACATATTGAAGTTTTTTTGTGAATAAAGAAGGGAAATTTTCCAAAAACTTTTATAGGAAATTTTAATTAAAATTTTCCAATGAAATTATAATTTATTTTAAAATTTGAAATTACCAAATTTCTTATCTTTAAAATTTAACATTTACAAAGATCCTTTGGTGTTTGGAAAAATGATTGTCTTTTATTTTTTGAGTTGAAAATTTGAAAAGTTTCCAATTATTCAAATTAAGGATATAGTAGATTTAATAGTAACGTTGAATGCAATCATTAATTTTTGATATTAATTTATTATAATTATCCTTCGACTAATTAATTCACTTAAGCATTTCAATAATATTTTGAAAAACTTACAAACTTTTTAAATTGTTTTTTTGTAGGTGTTTTAATTAAAATTTTGACATTTAATTAATTTTTTTCCTGAATTTTTTAATTTCAGGAATTTTTAATTTTAGGAATTTTTTGAATTTTAGGATTTTTTTAATAAATTTTTTAAAATAATTTTTGAAAAAAAATTATTTTAGTATCAACTCAAAAAAATTGTAATCCAATATATGTACGATGGCAACGAGTAAAGATAATATTTGGAGCACGAATTGAAGGACCATATTCATTTCATACATGCAAGGGAGCATGCGCAAATGATGAAGATCCTGTAAAAAGTGATACGGAAGTACAATGTTCCGGGTTAGTCTTCTAATTATTTATTTAATTAATTAATAAAGCAAACTTCTACTAATTATTGATAATTTTCTACATTATTTAATAAATTTTCGCTCTTTCAACTAAATAAATTTTGCTAATTTTTGATTTTTTTTTTCACTTAATTCAATTAATTCTTTTTTTTTATTAATTAATTAATTAATTCAGTTAATTGAAATTTATCAATAATTTTTTTTCGATGAATTAAAAATTTTTCAGCTTTTTTTTTAGCATATTAATCAAATTAATAAATAAAAATGAAAATTCACAGATTCAATCATCGTCATGGATTACCACAATATTCACAACATTGCCAATTATATCAGGCTGATCAATTACAACATGGTGAAAGTTTTTTTGAAGCCGATGATAGATATTCATTTTATTGGGAATATTGTGTTCAATGTAAGTTTCTCTTTCAAATAAGAAATTTTATAATTATTAAATTAAAAGCATTTAATTTTTTTTTAATTTTACTTTATTCAAATTTACAGGTAGAATTAATTTTATCGTAGTAATTATCAAATTATTTTAATTACTAATATTGTCCAATTATTGAATTAGGAATAGTTGAATTTTTTTATTTAGCCTTATTTTGTTGTAATTACTAATTATTTTCATTTTTATTATTTCATTCTTTTTCTTTTTTCGTCAAAATTTTTATTATAAATATTTTATTGTTTATTTCATAAAATTATTTAATTATTTGTCAACAAATTATTTTTGATTGGAATCATTTCAAATTCATATTTTTCAATCGAAACATCTATCCTTTTCCCAAAATACCACATTTAATCATAAATGAAATAAATCAATTTAAAATGAATAAATAGCCCTGATATTTGCGATGAAGAAATAAATGTAACAAGATATTTCAAGGTTAAACAATCATTGTTCAATTACAGTAAAATAGGTCATTTAGTATTACGGAAAAAAAAAAAGGGAAGAGCTATAATACGATCAATTTCAATCAAATATTCAAAAGGCATAGAATAATTAAAAAATTTTTTAATTATTTATTTAATTGATAACTTTATAAAATACTTTTGTGTTCATTTATTCTGAGGAGGACAGAGAGAAAAACAAAAGAAATAATTATATTCTTTTGAGAATTTTCTTTTTTATCTTTCTCACATATAACTTCGTAATCTTTTTCATTTTTAAATAAAGTTTATTTTAATTTAAAAAGTAAATAATTTATTTAGCAAATAAAAGCTGTTCTGGAGATTATGCATTTACATATTTATCGGATCGTTATATGGATCATCGTGAAGTTCGTGAAGTGATACGAACGAAAACTCTTGAAGATTGCTTAAGTTTATGTTTGAATGCAGCGGGTTATGCATGTCGTAGCGTATCATACAATCGTACTGATGGTGATTGCATGTTATCACAGCATAATCAACTTAGTAAACCGGCATTAATTAAAATTAACAACAATCCCAATTATCGTATCGACTATTACGAAAATAGTTGCACAAATAGTTGGGTTTTTTTTAATCAATTTTGAAAGTGATAAAAATTTAGAAAAAAACCATTAATATCATTTTTCAATTTTAATATTTAGTTTTTTTTTAAATTTACTAATTTGCAATTAATTAAAAATTTTTTTTTCTAATTAATAAATAATACTATCAATGTAAATGGAATGCAAAATATTTTTTAATTTTAAATTTAAATTATTATTAAAATACTAAAATAAAAAGTTATAGTTTAGTTGCAGATTCATTCTCATTTGATTATGAGTGCAAAGATGATGGAATACAGGTGAAGGTCATTTCGAAGTATCCATATACAGGTGCCATGTTTGGCCTTTATGACTTTTTCACATGTCGCATTGAACCTAATGAAGATACAAAATTTGAATATTTCTTTCCGTCACCAACAATTTCTAAGAATTGTAGCGACAGCATACGTTATAAGGTAATCTAAAAGTTTTTTTTTATTTTTTAAAGATGAAATTTGCTTAATTAATTAAATAAAAAGATTGATATGATAGAAATGAATGAAAGGAAAACCAAAAATTATTATTATTATTGTTATTATTATTATTATTATTAATTATTATGAAGTACAAAACAAAGAAAGAAATTCAATTTAAAAATACAACTCTGAAATGTGAAGGAGAGAAAGAGAAAAGAGAGAGAGAGAGGAGAGGAGGGAGGAG